TTTGTGAAGAAGAGACCCAAAGGGCTTGGCTGACGGCACACTGCAGACGCAGTGATCATTGGAGAGTTGGGAGGGCAGTGGGCAGGTGGCCGCACCAGCATTTGTGAAGAAGAGACCCAAAGGGCTTGGCTGACGGCACACTGCAGACGCAGTGATCATGGGAGAGTTGGGAGGGCAGTGGGCAGGTGGCCGCACCAGCATTTGTGAAGAAGAGACCCAAAGGGCTTGGCTGACGGCACACTGCAGACGCAGTGATCATGGGAGAGTTGGGAGGGCAGTGGGCAGGTGGCCGCACCAGCATTTGTGAAGAAGCTGCTTATTTGCTTCGATTATCACCAGTGAGGGAAGAGGCCAAACCAGCAGCCTGGTTCTGGCCCAGCTCGCTGCTGACTGCTGACACATCAGGAGGTCACCCTTCATGTGCAAATACAACAACGCCAATATGCAGTGCCTTGTGAGGGAGGGTCTTACTGGCTCCGAAAGGGGGCAAAGCACTGTCCTTATTTGGTATCTGAGCTGCTTATGCTGTGTAACTCCACACCATACCACAGTCATTCTTTTCCTACTCAATAAATCATTTTGCTGTTATTGTGTCAGTGAGGGACGTGCAGTGGTGATACATGGCTTTAGTATCTATTATCTGGTCAGTGTGCTAATGCAAGTTTCCAGTGTGTTAGGTATGTCACAGGCAGCCCAGCAAAGCAGAAGAGGTAGATCGCCCCCTACCTGTCACGGAGGGGAAGTAGATGCCCACCAGCAGCGTGAAGACGGTGGTGATGTCGTTGAAGACGTAGGGCAGGCTACTATCCCTGGAGGTGTTCTGAGCCGGGATGTACTCGTGCCCCGCCTTCTCCACCAGCATGCCACTGGGCCCATAGCTGCTCCACAGGTTTTCTGGGGCGGCGGAGGGGGAGAGACACTGAACTGTCGCATGCAGGTCATGCCAAGCGACGGCTCCTGTTACCCAGCGCGTCCCAGTTTCACAGTGTGCTGCACCTGAGAGTGACGAGCGTGGCGAGGCACGCTGCCTTTAAGGCCCCGAACACTGAGTCAGCTCGCAAAAATAAAGTGGCTGGTCGTGTTTCCATCCAGGAGCCCCTTCCCTATTTGGTTCCCGGAAGGTGGAGTGACCTTCGTGCTGCTTTTCACTGCGAGTCACAGTGCCAGTGAATGACACCTCTTCTGTCTGGAGGTAAAGGAGAAAGCCAGCCCGCCCTCGCTGCAGCATGTGTGGCAGCTATGTTACACGCTGTGTTTTCCGTGAAGCCATGGACGCCCCTTTAAAGGTAATATTGTGTTTTCCATGAAGCCATGGATGCCCCTTTAAAGGTAATGCTGTGTTTTTGATGAAGCAGAGGTTACCCCTTTAGAGGTAACAGTGTTTTCCATGATTCCGAGGCTGCCCCTTTAAAGGTAACACTGTATTCCATGAGGCCGAGGCTGCCCCTTTAAAGGTAACACTGTATTCCATGAGGCCGAGGCTGCCTCTTTAAAGGTAACACTGTGTTTTCCACATCCTCACCCAAGATGGCCCACCTCTACCTAATTTCCTCACCTGAGAGTGCTCTCCCTTACGCCACCTCCTCCTCACCTAAGAGTTCGCTCCTGTACCCCACCACCTCCTCTCATGAGATGGTCCTCCCATACCTCATGTCCTCACCTGAGATAGCCCTCCCATACCTCACCTGAGATGGTTCTCCTGTACCCCACCTCCTCCTCACTTGACATGGTTTTCCCGTACCCCACCTCCTCCTCACCTGAGATGACCCCGCTCAATAGACCAGGGATGCCTTTGATCTCTGTCACATTGTTGAGCTTGAAGTACTCATCACAGTTCTCTTCCTGGAACGGACTATCACAGAACAGGGTCGATAGCTTGGTGGGCACTGTCACATTGTTGACCACCTCCTTCTTCAGGCACTTGTCAAAGTCGAGGTTCTCCAAGATTCGGTTCCCCAAGAGGCAGATCCTGCAGAAGGTACCGTGGAAGGAAGCATGTTTAAAACAAAGCTGTGGGGGTGGAGATGTGTGGCTCTGTGGCTTACAAAAACTGTGCCCATGATCAGAAGGTTGCTGGTTCAAGTCCCAGGACTGGCAGAGTGATGTCACCATTGGGCCCCTGAGCAAGGCCCTCCAGGTCCTGGCTGACCCTCCTCTCTCAAATTGTATATCACTTTGAATAAATAAAGCTAATCTCTGTGCTATACAGGCCAAAGCACTACAAAAGATGGATGGTTGAAGGAATATGGTGTTACAGTGACCTAGAACCACAGGTTGTATCACTTTCACAAAGAAGAAAGCGTAAAAATATAATTACATGAAGGTACTATAAAACATTCTGTAACCTTTAATTTCTGCCCTGAAAGTTAGGTCATCCTAAATGTATGTAGTAGCTGGTAAGTAATGGTTACAGGAGCAGCATACTGATGCAGAGTTTACACAAAGCATGATTCCATGAGCGCCGCCGGTGCAGAACGCTGTCACTCACGGGAAGTGGGGCGACTCGAAGGCGGTCTTGATGACCCCGGCGTAGATGGCGATGATGGAGAGCACCACACAGGAGAGGAAGACCAGTGCCATTTTGTTGACGTACTTGACCCCCACGAAGACCAGCAGGGCCATGAGGAGCAGGCAGCCCGTGCCGTACACGCGCATGTTGTTCAGCATGGCTGCGGCCTCATCCTCCTTCTTCTCTGCTGTGAAGATGGCCACACTTGGCACGATGTAGGTCTGGGGAGTGCAGGAGGGGGAGATGGCAGCTTAAGTTTTTAGGAACACCACAGATATCCATCCACCCACCCACCCAACCATCCATCCACCCAACCATTCATCCATCCATCCATCATCTACACTGCAAATATCCCTCCATTCATCCATCCATCCATCCATCATTTACACTGCAGATATCCATCCACCCATTCATCTGTCCATCCACCCCTCCATCCATCCATCATCTACACTGCAAATATCCCTCCATTCATCCATCCATCCATCATCTACACTGCAGACCCATACATCCATCCCTCCACACTCACAGTGCAGGGTGGGGTTTAAACCCCAGGGAGAACACACAGACCCCACACTCACAGTGCAGGGTGGGGTTTAAACCCCAGGGAGAACACACAGACCCCACACTCACAGTGAGGGTGGGGTTTAAACCCCAGGGAGAACACACAGACCCCACACTCACAAATAGAAGTAATTTCGAAATGACTATTTGAAAATGATAAATGATTTCAAACCACCCCCAAATTTAAAAAACAAAAAACAAAATGGCAGACAACTTTTGAATGTATAATACACATATTTGTGGGAAACCTAAGCCGGTCACAAAGCTCAGGGGGCTCCACTTTTCTAAGCCCTCTTGGGTGTCCTACACACAACCAAAGACGGCACTCTGACCAGCAGGGTCTGTAGGCTCTCATTTGTCATCTGTAGGCACAGTGTCGGTGATCGATAGGCACAGAAACACTAATTATTAAGCACTTACAACTGCGAGCCCAAACTGCTCTCTGTGCGGCAGCTTAAATTCCGTTATATTGTCTGAGACGGCGCACATTGTAGGAGAGTCACGTGAGCTCACGCACCAGGAAGATCTCGATGGTTCCCAGGATGTACATGGATCCGGCAAAAGTGGTGCCCAGGTAGAAGCAGAGACCCACGGCGCCGCCAAACTCTGGGCCCAGGGACCTGGAGATCATGTAGTAGGAGCCACCAGCTGCCAGGAGAGGTGAGTGAGCAAAGCCATGTGTCAGAAAACATCTGGAGAAATGGACAAAAGCAAAGCTACTGCTGCAGAGAGAGAGAGTGACATGCTGAGCAGAAGGAGACTGACGGCAGAAGCATCTTCACAGCTTCAGCCCAGGACTGTGCAGTGTGCAGTGCAGACAGAACACTGCACTGACAGAACACTGCAGAATAACCTGTTGCTTAGTGCGTCCGTTAAAAGCAAGACGAGACGTACATCCCATGCATCTGCGAGAGAGTGAGATCTCACCTGGCACAACGCCGTTGGTGGCTACGGCGCTCATGGAGATGGCAGTCAGCATGGTCTACAGGAGAGACGGGGGCGTCACACATCACTAAACGGGCTCAGCCACGCTGAAAGAGCTGTGCTTAATTACAGTGCAGTTTTCGGGTCCCTGAACCTGGGGGGAGGGCGGGGGGTCTTACAGTGTGTTCCCACCCTGATAGAGATGTCTGTGCTCGATGTACCCAGAACCCAGTGCCAAAGCATCCGCATAAACACCAGTCGTACCCGAGCCGTACCCGAGTCGTACCCGAGCCGTAACCGAGCTGTACCCGAGCCGTAACCGAGCTGTACCGTGAAGAGAGACTAGTTACAGTGCAGTTCCAGCTCACTTCGGGTTTCCACTGCAGAAGGTTCGGAACGGAAAAGGCGTTGCTGGGTTTGGAGAGAGAGTGATGTAAAATGGATGAGACGCTTATTTACTGTTCACGTGGTGTACATCATGGTTTACTGTGTGCAGTTATTATTATTATTATTATTTATGTTATTATTATTTACTGTTCACATGGAGTATATCATGATTTACTATGTGCTCATTTCTGTTAGCAATTCTGTGAAAATCCCCATCAAACATGAGCAGAATTAGCTTTTGCCTGCGTAAAACTGCAGTATGAATCCTTTCCATTCAGCTGTTCTATGTTACCTTTTTAAGTAGAAGGTTGAAAATTTTCAAGTTCCAAGTTACCGGGAATGCATTAATAGATCATGATGAGCGATACTACTAATAATGACTAATATGTAGAATATGCCCTTGTTTCCTCCAGATAATCTGTGCCTAGAACATGGGTATCCCTGTGCATTTCGACCAATCAGATGGTGGTGACACAACTAGCACAGTTTGGTCATGCTTTGGCCCTGCTAGTAAGCCGGGCCGTGTCAGCGTGGTTACGGCTTGGGTACAGCACAGGTACAGTCCACATACTTTACAGTGGAAGACCTCCAGTTCACCGTACGACTCGGTTCTTAGTTACAATGCGCCCAGAGTTCTGCTTTCTGTACCTTACTAAGTTGTACAGCGCTATACTGTGTAGTCACAGCATAAGACACAGAGTGATCACATGACACAGAGTGATCACATGACACTTTAGCAGCCTGCTTGTCCGGGAGCCTGCAATACTCACTTAGGAACAGCACATGACACAGAGCGATCACATGACACAGAGCGATCACATGACACAGAGCGATCACATGACACAGAGTGATCACATGACACAGAGCGATCACATGGCACCTGAGTAGCCTGCTTGTCAGGGAGCCCACGATACTCACACAGGAGCAGCACATGAAGACAATGGCAAAGGCTTCCAAGATGCCCGCTGTGCCCACGATCCAGGTGAGGCGCAGGAAGAGGATGACGCCCAGAATGTTCTGCAGGCAGGGCAGGTAGACGCCAAAGAAGGTGCCCATCTGTGGACTCTGTGGCAGGAAGGAAGGGACCTACCGTTACGTTCAGCCCAGAAAAACACAGACTGCTCTGTCAGCTGAGATTTGAAGACTGTGGCCCCTAAACTCATTAAGGTCCCCATACTTCAGCTCCCCTTTGTCACATTTTTCGGGTACTGTATAAACCGTGGCAGGAATCCAGGCAGCCATGTGCATGAGCTTTTCTTCACACAACCATCTCAGTCCCACTGCACACTGGCAATATGCAAGACCAGTCAGAGCCCACTGCACACTGGCAATATGCAAGACCAGTCAGAG